ATAAATTCCAGAAGGCCCTGCAGAAGAAGATGCTTTCTTTCCTGTCAGTCACACTAAGCCTTTCCAGTATTGTCATTTTTGTCTGCTAAAATAAGAATTGTAAAGGCAGTGTCTGCAGGGATAAAGGGGAGTTTAAACTCACAACTCTTCCTTTTCATATGCCTTTTCCACATTTATACCAAGTGAGAAGGATGGTATCACATATTTTACTTCAGGAAAACAGCTTTTTGACAAAGCTGTCTTACTGACTACTTACTGAAGTTATTTCTTTACTTTGTTCCATTGAAAAGGCCTATCTAGTTAATACTCTCCAGTTAATATTAACATGAATAATGGAAAGGAAGTGAAAGGAAAACTAGTTTTATCTAAATCATTTTAAGCAATACTTCTTTTCCTCAAAGCCTCACATTTCTGCAGTTGTGAATAAAGATTAAGCTGGTACTCCCAATTGGCCTTAACTTTTAAATTTGTTTCTGAATATAAAGTATCATAAGTTATATCTTTATATTTCAGCCATTATTCTGAACCTGCATTAACCTAATTTTGGATAGTCTTTTAGAACTAGTGTGAGTCAATCCACAGCAATCATACTTAACCTTTATTAAACATACTACCTTTTCTGGTACTGTGTTAGATACTTTGCATGGATTATTTCATTTAATGATACACTAAAGTCCAGTGGTGTGTATTTTTAGTCCCATTTTACAGATGGGAGTAAAAATGGGAAAAAAACAAAGATTTAGAAAGTAGTCTAAGGTCCTACAACTCAATGGTAGAATTGGAGCTCTCACCCAGTCTCCAGTGATATTCAGTATGTTATACACCTTCTTTCTACTAATGTGTTAATTTACCGTATAAGGAGCCCTGTTGTTGTTCAGTCGCTCACTTGTGTCGGACTTTGTGACCCCATGGACTGCATCATGCCAGGCTTCCCTGTCCTTCACCATCTCCCAGAGTTTGTTCAAACTCATGTCCCTTGAGTCGGTGATGCCATCCAACCATCTCATCCTCTGTTGTCCCCTTCTCTGCCTTCAATCTTTTCTAGCATCAGGGTCTTTTCCAGTGAGTCAGCTCTTTGCATGAGGTGGCCAAAGTATTGTAGCTTCACCTTCAGCATCACAGTCCTTCCGGTGAATATTCAGGGTTGATTTCTTTTAAGATTGACTGGATGGATCTCCTTGCAGTCCAAGGGACTCTCAAGAGTCTTCTCCAACACCACAGTTTGAAAGCATCAGTTCTTCGGCGCTCAGCCTTTATTATTATCCAGCTCTCACATCCCTACATGACTACTGGAAAAACTATACAGAACTTTGTAGCAAAGTAATGTCTCTGCTTTTTAATACACTGTCTAGGTTTATCATTTTCTTCCAAGGAGCAAGTGTCTTTTAATTTTGTGGTTGCAGTCACTGATGAGTGATTTTGGAGCCCAAGAAAATAAAGTCTGTCACTGCCATTGTTTCCCCACCTTAATCTTTAGTTCCTCTTTGCTTTCTGCCATAAGGGTGGTATCATCTGCATATCTAAGATTATTGATATTTCTCCCAGCAATCTTTATTCCACCTTGTGCTTCACCCAGCTCAGCATTTTGCATGATATACTCTGCATGTAAGTTAAACAAACAAGGTGACAGTATACAGCCTTGATGTACTCCTTTCCCAATTTGGAACCAGTTTGTTCATTGTTCCATGTCTGGTTCTAACTGTTGCTCCTTGACCTGTGTACAGGTTTCGCAGGAAGCAGGTAAGGTGGTCTGGTATTTCCATCTCTTGAAGAATTTTCCACAGTTTGTTGTGATCTACACAGTCAAAGGCTTTAGTGTAGTCAGTGAAGCAGTTCAGTTCAGTTCAGTCGCTCAGTTGTGTCCGACTCTTTGCGACCCCCATGGCCTGCAGCACTCCAGACTTTCTTGTCCATGAGTTTACTCAAGCTCGTGTCCGTCGTGTTGGTGATGCCATACAACCATCTCATCCTCTGTCGACCCCTTCTCCTCCTGCCTTAATCTTTCCCAGCATCAGGGTCTTTTTCAATGAGTCAGTTCTTTGCATCAGGTGGCCATAGTATTGGAGTTTCAGCTTCAACATCAGTCCTTCCAGTGAATATTCAGGACTGATTTCCTTTAGGATGGACTGGTTGGATCTCCTTGCAGTCCAAGGGACTCTCAAGAGTCTTCTCCAACACCATAGTTCAAAAACATCAATTCTTCAGTGCTCAGCTTTCTTTATAGTCCAACTCTCACATCCATACATGACTGCTGGAATAACCATAGCTTTGACTAGACGGACCTTTGTTGCAAAGTAATGTCTCTGCTTTTTAATATGCTGTCTAGGTTGGTCTGGAGAAGGAAATGGCAACCCACTCCAGTATTCTTGCCTGGAGAATCCCAGGGACAGTGGAGCCTGGTGGGCTGCCGTCTATGGGGTCACACAGAGTTGGACACAACTGAAGTGACTTAGCAGCAGCAGCTAGGTTGGTCATAACTTTTCTTCCAAGGAATAAGCGTCTTTTAATTTCATGGCTGCAGTCACCATCTGCAGTGATTTTGGAGCCCAAAAAAATAGTCTGTCACTATTTCCCCATTTATTTGCCATGAAGGGATGGGACCAGATGCCATGATCTTAGTTTTGTGAATGTTAAGTTTTAAGCCAACCTTTTCACTTTCATCAGGAGGCTCTTTAGTTCTTCTTCGCTTTCTGCCACAAGGGTGGTGTCGTCTGCATATCCTGGCAGTCTTGATTCCAGCTTGTGCTTCCGCCAGCCCAGCATTTCTCATGATGTACTCTGCATATAAGTTAAATAAACAGGATGACAGTATACAGCCTTGACGTACTCCTTTCCCGATTTGGAACCAGTCTGTTGTTCCATGTCCAGTTCTAACTGTTGCTTCTTGACCTGCATACAGATTTCTCAAGAGGCAAGTCAGGTGGTCTGGTATTCCCACCTCTTTCAGAATTTTCCAGTTTATTGTGATCCACACAGTCAGAGGCTTTGGCATAGTCAATAAAGCAGAAATAGATGTTCTTCTGGAACTCTTGCTTTTTCAGTGATCCAGCGGATGTTGGCAATTTGATCTCTGGTTCCTCTGGCTTTTGTAAATCCAGCTTGAACAATCCAGCTTGAACATCTGGAAGTTCACGATTCACGTACTGTTGAAGCCCAACTTGGGAGAATTTTGAGCATTACTTTACTAGCGTGTGAGATGAGTGCAATTGTGTGGTAGTTTGAGCATTCTTTGGCATTGCCTTTCTTTGGGATTGGAATGAAAACTGACCTTTTCCAGTCCTGTGGCCACTGCTGAGTTTTCCAAATTTGCTGACGTATTGAGTGCAGCACTTTCACAGCATCTTCTTTTAGGATTTGAAATAGCTCAACTGGAATTCCATCACCTCCACTAGTTTCGTTCATAGTGATACTTCCTAAGGCCCACTTGACTTCGCCTTCTAGGATATCTGGCTGTAAGTAAGTGATCATACCTTTGTGATTATCTGGGTTGTGAAGATCTTTTTTGTACAGTTCTTCTGTGTATTCTTACGACCTCTTAATATCTTCTGCTTCTGTGAGGTCCATATCATTTCTGTCCTTTACTGTGCCCGTCTTTGCATGAAATATTCTCTTGGTATCTCTGATTTTCTTAAAGAGATCTCTAGGCTTTACCATTCTGTTGTTTTCTTCTGTTTCTCTGCATTGTTCACTTAAGTGTATCTTTCCCTTTCTCCTTTGCCTTTTGCTTCTTTTCTCAACTATTTGTAAGGTCTCCTCAGATAACCATTTTGCCTGCTTTATTGTAAATATCATTTACTGACTTGAATAAACAATCCATTAGAAGTTACTGCTGTGTTGCTCATGTCCTCTTAACAGAAAAAGGTGGTTTTATCATCAAGGAATTAAAAAGGAGGAAAATTTTTGATGAAATTCTTGACATAGAGACAATATATTTAAAACATACATCTGGCCTGGAACTCAGAAACACTGTGTGTAATTTAGTTTCCTGACTTAATGCTCTGAGGCCTCCACTGATCGTTGTGATAGGCAGGTAGTTTTACCTCTTGGAATGCTTTTTTTTTTTTTTTTTAAGTACCAGCCCTTGAAAAATAAGATGATAACTCACTCTGATACTTTGTGGAGGATGTAAAACCCTGGAGGTAAACTTTTTCCTTAAGGGAAAAAAAAAATACCTCTATGTATTTAATGATTTCAAATTGTTTGAATTTAATGGTTTTATTGTTTGTAAAATAGATGCTTTGTCTATATAATGACCCTTAACCTTAAAATGAAAAAACTGAGTAATGGATTTGAGTCAGTATTTAAATAAATACTTACTTACATAGGTAGCTTATAATAATAGCTAATCATATATCTGTTAATTTTAGCTATACCGCCTTTTTTTCAGTGCTTTGCATAGATCAGTTACTTTAATTCTCACAACTCCATTAAATGTATGTTTAATCATGTGATTATTAGATTACTGTCTGCCTCCCACACTGGGTGGTAAGCTCTGTAGAATCAGAAACCATTTCTGATTCTGTTTACCATTGTTCACTCCATGCACAGAGCTGACCATACAGTAGGGCTTAAATGTTGAGTGAATGAATGAATGAAATGAATTCTTAATAGCTAATACTGATTACCTTGTGATAGTGATGCTTTCTCTGAAGTATTAAAATACATGTCATGATTTAAACTCAACATTTTTTCTTTGCTGGTCACATCTTGACATGATGGTGATTAAAATTCCTTAGAAATAAAGCACAGTAATATATTTCATTACATTTAGCATTTTTTGTTTGTTTTCAGCTTGACTAATGGTTTGAATTGAGGTCATACTGTGTGCTAACCATTGTGCATAATTTAATTTCAAGTTCTTGGTTGCTTGTTTCACTTTGCAGGAAATGTAATTCTTTGATGAAACCCTTGTATATTTAAGAAAGTAAAGATAGCAGATGCCTTATTTCTCTTCTTCAGTCTACCATCCTTACGAATACTGTTTTCATTTGGCTTCTAAGGGAGAAGATGTCAACCGGACACTAGAAGGTGGAAGAAAGCCTCTTCATTATGCAGCAGATTGTGGGCAGCTTGAAATCCTGGAATTTCTGCTGCTGAAAGGAGCAGATATTAATGTATGTAAAGAATATTATCATTCTAGAAAACAGTTCCTGTTGTATGCTTTTGGGTAGTTGTTTTCAGTAGATTTGTAAAATAGTTACTGGTGGAAACCTCATGTGAAGTAAGAATATAGTCTGAAATTTTGCCAAATTTCTGTAGCTTAGAAATATATGATTGTGAGTTTTTTTTTAAATAAGCAAGAACAAGTTTATTTTTTTAAACTGATAAAACTGGTGGGTGAGAGGCATGGATAGATGGTTCATGCTTCCTTTTCATGTTCTAAAGCAGTTTGAGAGTTATCACTATCTGTAGGTGGCAAATGGCTATCACCCAATGGAGGGTAGACCCTGTAGTCATATGAAAAATCTAAAAGTGGATTTTTGGACAACAGTCAGGCAGCAGTTATCTCTTGATTCTTGCCTTTTGTAGCTTCTGCATTTCAGAGTTTCAGAAAAACGTTTAACCATAACAGCAAGTGAGATGAACTTTTCACATCTCAGGGACTGCCATGTCACCTGATCCAATTGTGGGCATCTGTTACCTCTTCACACTGGCATGCCTACAGTAGTGGGGAGTTGAGGCTCAGAGAGATTAAGTAACTAGTCACACAGTTAAGTGCCAGAGTCCAGATCTGAGCTGGGGTCAAAGTCCTGCTCCCTCTGTTTCACTGTGCCGACTTCTAAGGAGAAACTGCTTGTGGGCCTACACCTCTCTCAGCTCTATAAGAGGCTAAAAATGGGAGAACATTGATTTTCAATTATTTACAAGCATTCCCTAATGATCTAGAGAGAAGGAAAAAATGAAAAATGGATAAAGTGATCTATATCTCATTCTTTCATAGGCCCCAGATAAACATCATATCACACCTCTTCTGTCTGCTGTCTATGAAGGTCATGTTTCCTGCGTGAAATTGCTTCTGTCAAAGGTGAGGTCAATTGCTGATTTTTATTGCTTTTTCTATTATTTTTTAACTGTTCAAGCTAAGTAATTGGTTATTAATTTACTTAAATTTTGTGTGGTATCAGGAACAGAAAAATTAGAGATAACAGCCAAAATTGAAGTCTAGAGCAATGTTGCTCGAAAGAGCTGATTCAGACGCTGTTAGCAGTTCTTGTAAAGAGGCGGGGCTAGAAAATAAGTCAACACAGTCTCCTTCATCAAGAGTATCTTGCAATTTTTTTAAAAAGTTAGCTGAACTAGACTTTGTACTTAACACAAAAAATGTTGTCCTGTTAGTAACAGTTTGCAGACTGGTGCCAGATTCACATACCACATTTTGAATGACTTTGCCTTTGACATTTGTAAACTTCTTTGTCTGTAGTGATCTTTCTGAGCAAGATTATTGAGGCAGATTGCTGTAAGGGCTCTACCAGTCATTTGGTTTCTTGGTGTGATTGAGATCATGGTACATTTGGAGTTTTCCAGTGTTTTGTCTTTGATTACAAGCTCTTAAATGAAGGTCAGAGTCCAGCCTTAGAAATTAACCAGTCAGTTGCAACCACTCTAGCTGTATTAGATGGAAGCTCCACATGTTGGAAGACATGAAATCGTCGTAAAATAAGGCACTCACAGTAATCCCAAGATTATCCTTCATGGCCATATTCTGGAAAGTGTCCATAATGTTTAATTTGGAATTTTCAAATAAGTCCTGCTAAAAGAAGCAAGAAAGAATTAGAAATAAAATGAGTAAATATATTTGAAGCATTTTGCACAGTACCTGACATATAATAATAGTCAATAAATAGTAGCTTTTATTATGTTTAAGACTAAAGAGGATTTTATGCTTCATAGATTCAGTTTCAGTAGGATTTGGAGAACACTGGGAAAGAAAGTAGTACTTTTGTCCCAACATTTTATTGACAACTTTTCAAGGGTACTATCTGAAAGCAGTTAACTCAGGACCTTTAAAATTAGGGGGTTTTACCCATACCTTCAGCACAAATACTGGATTTCTTGAAATGTGTGGTGGTGGTGGTGGTTTTTGGGGTGTTTGGGGTAATTTTTAGATATTATAGTGCTCGCTTTGGCAGCACATATACTAAAATTAGATATTATATACCATACTGATATAAAAACCCAAAATAAAGGAACACATTATTCTTTGCCACTGTAATGGATCCAGCATCTGTGGTAGGATGTGGTCATGAAGATTTCCAGCCACTGTGTCTTTCTCCTGTCTTCCCATCCCCCACACCCATGTAAAGATTAAAAAGAACCTTTGAGAACTATGGATAATTTCAGCCTTGGGGGAATATTTTTGTATTGTGTTAAAAATTGGTTGTCGCAGGCTACAAATATTAATTTACAATTCATGGAAGATTTATTTAGTTGTAATATTTTATTGGTTAGGACTGTTTATTGCAAGTAACTAAACCAAGCTTAAACAGGCTCAAGCAGTAAAAGAGATCATGTTGACTCACATAGTTCTAGGTCAAGGCACAGCTTTTCCGTGGGTTTAAGCCACGTGACCAGCATCTGATTTCTTTGTGTGTATCCCTCAGCTCTCTTCCTCAGGGTCGGCTTAATTCCCCCACCTCAATATATCTTCTGAGTGTAGACCAAAAGAAATAGCAATACTGTATTATATTTGAGAGTTGCTTAGAGCTTAAAAATTCTCAGAGGAAAAAAATTTTAAACTATGTGAGGTGATTTTTATTTGAACTTATTGGGGTAATCATTTCACAATACATACACATATCATTTTGTTGTATACCCTAAGTTATCATTAGTATTATACTATCAGTTATATCTCAATTACAAATTAATAAGTCAGAATACAAACAAGAAATGAATGACTCCTTCTCCTTCTTTCTCCCTCTTTCCGTGACCTTTTCTACCTAGCCAAGGGTTTTTGTTCTCTGAAAATAAAAACCTCCATGGGATCCTTTTTTAGCTTAGGGCTCTGGTCATTTACCAAATGAGGTACCCCTAAGCCAGCTCTTTATTTGTAGCCAGATCTCAAACTGTAGATCAGAACTGTGTTTCTTTCTGATAAGCCTTTCTTTCCACCTGGGACAAACAAAACAAGAAGTAGTTATTCTTAAGATAGCAAGAGCACAGACCATCATTCCATATTTCTTATTCCCAAAACACTATGCTTTCGGTCATTAAGACCTTAAATCTTCTACTTAAATAAGTTCCTGAAAAGCTAGCTTGATTTGAATGTATGATAAGCCATTATATGTTATCCCAGAAGGATCTTTATAGATATGTACTATATTGCTGAATTATCGGTTATAAGTTGAGTTTCCTGACTTTAAAGTAGTTTTTAAATTTTATTTGTGCCTGTAATATTGTCCTTTCATTATATCCAAGCCTTAATTTTTGTAGCTAAATAAGTGACATTCAGCGGTGGCTATATTGATGGCAGACCAATTGTAACCATGTAGAGCTGTTATTTTAGATGAAAGATTTTCTTTTTATCTTTTTGAAAGCAACATATTACCTTTCTAAAGCAATGTAATACAATGTAGTGTTGTTTTTCCAAAATTAATTATGTTGATTTTATTTTTGCATAAGCTTCTAAATGGATACCCAGTAGTTCTGTTAACAAAATTTTTAAAGGAGGAAATTGTGCTCTTTCAAAAATCCTTAATTAACTAAAATAAGGCTATTCCAGTGCATTTATTTAAAGTCCAGTCAGAGTTTATATTATGTAATCTGGTTTGTCCTGCTTTTTATCAAAATTAGAATCCTTATCAATTACTATGAATCTATTTGAAAGTACATAGTTTAGAAGTTTCCAGATTTGTTGACAGCTCTAATATACAACTGATTCTTGAACAACAAAGGTTTGTATTGAACCAGCACACTTATATGCAGATTTTTTTCAGTAGTAAATGCTGAATAGACTGCACGATGCATGGTTGGTTGAATCCACAATAATTCAGAGGAACCACAAAAACGGAAGAGCCAGCTAAAAGTTACAAATGGATTTTCAGCTGCACAGAGGGTCAACTATATTATTCCACTGGTATATCATTAGCATAAGGGAAAAGCCAAAATAATATTTTAAAACTCAGTGTGATCACAAGTAATGGTAAAAACAAAATCAAGCTATGCCATTTACTGGACAATTTTTATTTTAATGCAGTGGAAGATGAAGTTATGACACAAGTAGGAATTTAAGATGTTTAATTCTTTATATTTTCCATAGATGTTAGCTTCCTTTTTTGCTCTATGGATAATAATCTTTGTTTATGTAATCTCCAAATACATAAGGTGACCGTAAAGGAAGTTAAACAACTTCCTAAAGTCTAACAGAAAGTGATGGAATCAAGAATTTTTTCCAAGATATGACTCCACACATGTTCTTTCTCCTCCTTGAGAGATCCTTTTCAGACTTATCATCATGGACAGTTAGGAGAAATGATTATATTTCTGCAGGTAAAGGCTATTTGGCCTGATTTTTTATTGTTACACTCATGATTGAAAAAAAAATGTAGAGATCAACACTTGTGAGCCTTTCACTTCAAGACTGAGGTCTGAGCATATGCCAGGGTATCCCCCTTTAATCCTCGGATGATAGAAAAGAGATTTTTTAAAATAAATGAATCGACATCTGCTTTAGACCATAAGATGGGATTCATGAGACAATAACTTATCCTTGAGAGACAGAAAGCAGGTGAGATGAAGTTGAAGAAGAAAGCGTTCCCTAACATAAGCAAGACCGGACTGTTACAAGGAGGAGTCGATCCAAGGCAGCTCAAAGCCCAGAAGTGGTCAGCACCCTTGAGCAACAAGTGAAGAAACAAACCCAAAGGAGAAGACTGAGATGTAAAAAGGAATAAGCAAGAAATTACTGTGTGAATGAAAACAAATATTGAAATATAAAATGAACATGAATGTTTAAAAATATAAGCTAAAACTATAGAACTATTAAATAATACTAAATAAGTTTCAAGGAAAATGAACAAAATTCCTGGTACTCACCAAGTCCAGAGTACATGAGAAACAGTGGTAAAACTGGTGAAAGGAGACAGATGAAACAGATTAAAAATTCAGGCTCCAGAAGCATCGTGGTGAATAAAGTAGTCTCAGAGAGTAAGAAACCCAAGTGAGGGTATAAAACAGAAGTGGCAGCTGCCCCACAGTCACTAAAAAGACCAAACCTGACAGACTTCGACTTAATGTTATGAAAGCAAAAATAAACCATGTAAGCGCCTGTCATCTTAAATTGTAATTATCTCACAGTTGAATAAGATTCCTTTTTTTTTTTTTTTTTTTTGCCTGAAGAAAATCTTAAGAGGAAATTTTTGGAATAAAAGATATTTAAAAGATGTATAAAAATCTGACTAAAATCTCAAATGCCTGAATAATAGTAATGTTTCAGGCACACATTATGTAGAAGAGAGTTAATCACAAAATGGTGCTCTTGAACGGTTATAGCTGATGGGTTCATAAGTCTAAAATTCATTTATTTTTCACAGTTACATATAATTTGGCAGCATCTAATTTCTGTGTGGTTAAAGAAACAGTTCTCTATGAGAAGTAATTGTTTGCCTGTAACATTAATACACTATCAGGCTACACATTTCCTCTAATCTAGTATAGTATTTAATATATATCAGATTTCTATATTTATACTTACTAAAATTCTTTATAATTTATGTAATTCTTTTGATAATAAAAGATTTTAAGATGTCTCCTTGTTAATTCTAAGGAAAACTGTTTCTAAATAATCCACTCTAGGGTATTGTGGGAAAAAGGGAAATACTTAACATCAAAGTAAACATTTAAGTTTCCTATCATTTAGAATTCAGACAGATAAGCATTCATTACTCTAGTGTGTGTTTATACTCTGTCCCTTATATGCTATATACTGCTATTAAAAATGACCACTCAACCTCCTATTAAATAAGAATTCTTTTAAACAAAGAGAAAAGGCACCCTAGCATGAGAGAATCACAAATCTTATAAAATTTA